CAGTACCTTTGGTGTTTTGGGTGGTTCTCTGTCAAAGATGAATTTGTTGCTGACAATGAGTCCAAAAGAATTACTTCTTTGGTGAATCTTGTATCCTGGCAGTACAATTGGCCTAGTGCTGTCTTAATGGCCTCTATTTCGCCTTCTGATGTGCAACAATTTTTTCGCTGCTGCGAAGGAAGGGAATTGTTCAGAGTAAACACCAGCACCAACGTTTGCTTGGTTTTCTATGTAAGACCCATCATTGAAGCCTTGGAGCCATTGATCTGCAGTATAGTTTGCATTGATTGACTCAAGAGCTAATAAGGGCATTTGATCTGTGGGGTTATCTGCTTTCCAGAAGTGGCCAAGCGGTTAGTTGCTAAATTTCACTTCGGTGTCTGTCAACGAGTTTCTGTTTAAAGAGAGGTCTTCTGGTTTGTCATTAATTTGTAATGCTTGCTTCAGTTCTATGGATTTCTGTATTAGGCCAAATAGTATTTTTTGGGTGTCTTGGCAAATTTTAGTAGGTGCTGAAGAATGCGTCTCTGGGATTGCGCAGCAGCTTCTCATAAAGAGTCAAGGCCTTCCCTTTAATAAAGGAACATATTGTGGTGATGCCTGAAATCAGGTACCCTTAGTTCTAAAGCATAAAATTCGAGTTTCACCACTCATTATACTTGTTTCTTGTATGTACGCTGTGGTAAATGCTTGACTCAATATATTCCACTTATATTTGTTGTCGTAATGAATATCGATTTAATACCAATGTAGAGAGCACGGTTTTCACCAACTAATAACCAGAGATTGACAGGAATCCTCTGCAGTGTAAGTGGGATGCTATCATCTGCTGGTTTCTTCTTCTTCGCTCTTGGCCATTCCTCAGGTATTTGGATACTTTATCTCATGTTCTTTGATCCAAGTAACTTCCTTGGCTATTCCTACTTAATAGTGTTAAGTAGAATTAATCCAACAACTTTTCCATTTCAGTTTATCTACCTGTTTCACTTGTGCTTTTCTACTGCACTTATCAAATATCAACTGAGATGAAGAATCTTCGAAATAGTAAAATTGAAAGCAAACTTTGCTAGCAAATGCACACTGATTTTTAATAAAGAAATATCACTAACTTCATAAGTTGTTTTAAAAAAATTATTTGTTTCCTTTTTAATTGCCTCATTGAAACAAGCGTTAATAATTTTGATGGTGGGAAGAAGATGTATTTATTTAAGAGAATATTGAACAAGTTGCAAATAGATTAACATGTCAGAGATGGGTTAGTTAAAGTCGCCATTTAGCAGAGTTCCGTAAGCTCCATGAGGGCTATGAAAGAAGAATGCAAGCCTGCAGACGAGCATCATCAAGGCACAAACAGAAGAAGAGTTGACGTCATTAACACTGAAGTAATGCAATCCCTTATCGATTTCCCCAAAACGGCATGGAGTTCTATTGGTTATTATCTTGACGACTAACTACGGACTGAAGTGATCAGTGGGCAAATTGAGTCTAGTGAGAGCCTAAATATTCACCGAAAGAAGCTCTGACTCACCAGCTGACAAGTAGATTAGTCAGTGTGGTAGAACCATGTAGTTTAACAGAACGAATCTTGGTGACACGTTGCTCAGGTAATTCCATCTTCACTAGGATTACGTTCGAAGTACTACCTTGTCCTAGACAATCAACTTTTGTAAAAAGAATCTTTACTGCTTTTGTTCTGCTAAAGTTGTGTTTCTCAGAATCTACATGGGGTTGAGTTTCTTGTAAGTGAAATGGGCAATTGGCATTTAACATGAATTTTATGGAACAATATAATTTTCATTATTTTGCTGTTATACGAATTTAGTGATTTTCTTATACAATTAACATAAAATATATGTATTATGCTTCAACATAAAATGTTTAAATCGAATTGAGCAATATGTTTTCATAAATTAAATTACAAAATATGCGAAATTTAGTCCTCAAATGCGTGAATTGTTTGAACCAGGTGCGTTTTTATGAAATTATATGTCGAAACTTCTCCTCTTATAGTATAATTTAATAGGCAAAGGAGAATTGTGATTTTAATAAGCTCTTTGAGAGATTTCGTGCAGTAAATAAAAAATAAACTTTGCTATTTGAAGTTACCAAGCTTGGTATGAAACCATTCCACCCGAAAGTAGCATTTCATTTCCAGAACCCTAGCTATGATATACATAAGGGAATCTACAAATTTTGTTTTTCATTGATGTGCAGCCTTCTAATGTTTCAAGAGCACCTCTTAGTGGAATAACTTTGACAAACGAAGAACTACTCCAATAGTTGTTTTTCAATATTAATAACCATTTTAACAACAAAATTATTAATTATTTGAAATGTCTTTCTCCCAGAAAAAAATGTTAATAAGTATGCCAATGTTCGATATTCTTCCTATTTCTGTGGGTAACACTTTACTGCACTTGAAGTCTTCTTCTCTTGTTATAGTGGAATGCATTTCATTTATTATCACATACTTATTCACCCCATCGAATCTGACTGAGAAACAACACCTTTGTATAATGATTGTGGTCATTTCTCGCAATCGCTGTTAACAGTACTGTGGAATACACTAACATAACGCGATAATCTCATGGGCACCCGGATATTCTGGAGGGTTTGGTCGTACATAAATTGGACATTTCTACAAATCTGTTAGAGCTATTCATTGGAGTTACGTTAAAAATATTTGTCATGATCATAATTTCAATACTTACCCTACATCTGTTTCCACTACATCGTCAAGTTAACTTAACTAATTACGACAGCCATTCTAGACTACGCTATTTTGTCATGGTGATTACTGAAAACAAATCAAGGTTTTTTCGTGAAGTAAATCTCTACAGTACCAGGTGGTTCCATGTAACTTATTTTGTCACACAAGTTAGACTTATTCACTCGGAAAATCGGCATCATGAAAATGAGAAAATCGAACTGTCTCAGTTTTAACTTTTAGCAATTTCGCACCAAATAGTGAAGAATATCTAAGTCTTTTAGCTTCTGTATTACGTCACCAAATCCAATGAAATTGATTTTCTAAATGCATGTCATTTAGGTGGCCCTTATGTCAGTCAAAGTTTATAATGTAAGATAGTAAAACGTGGTTCAAGCAAATTGAGACTTATTTACTCATAAACTGAATTACAAAATATGTGACAGTTAGTGCACAAAAGTGGAAGAGGTTTGAATCCATTTTGTTTTTGTGAAATAATGTGACGTAAATTCTCTATTGCAAATGTATCTTATGAGACTAAAGAGAACCAAAAATAGAATAGGCTCATCATGTGATTTTAAGTGATAATCGAAAGTAATTTACTTCTGATTGAAGTTTAAAGAATGCTGAAGAATATTCAACATCTTTGTTAATGAAACTTTTCCATAAGAGGCTGTAGGTTTGTGAATTTTCAGATTCAAAGGCTTATATTCGTTTGATATGAAACTCAAAATCAACTTCGAATTTGTCCAATTACAGTGGGAAGTGTTCACTCAAATTGACAAGGACAAGAGAAAAGTGGAACGTTAACAACACCGTCTTAAGTGTCACCTAACCGTTGGTGAAATTAAATCTCTCAGATTTTGTCAAAAGTATTAGAGTGATAATACCTTTCTCAAAGTTTGCGATAGATGTAATTGGAGCTTTTATTCTCCCCATTATGTATCAACATTAAGCAGCTTACATGAATTCACCATGGTTCAACAGCCAAATATCTCATCTCGTGAATATGCCACACTCATTGTATCCCACCAAGTTAGAGCTCTAGGAAGTAATCGAATAGGTCTAATCAAATAGCATAAGAAATTGTTTTGCCCGTGGATTTGTTCTCATATTTTTAAAAAATAAACTAACACAATTATTAACTATTTTTGATTACAAAATAACTGCTCAATAAAAATTAATTTTCAGTATTCTGGAATAGAAACGTTCGATCGGGGATGACAGAAACAACATCACATTTCATACCTTGTGTTGTAGTTCGATACGGTGAGAGAACAAACTATTCGAAATATATTGATTTTAAACGATTGTGGTTACCGTAAGTGGAGTGGAAGGCAGCAATATGGTCAACCTATGAGGGTTAGTTAGTTAGGAATAGAAACGTTCGATCAGCCATGACAGAAGTAGCAACACATTTCATATCTAGTAGTTCAAGCAATTTGATAAAAGTAAACAATTAAGGTGGGATCTCAATTTAAGAACGTATTGATGATGTCGGCTGTAGTAAAAAATGATGACTTCAGCTAGATCGCAGTGGAAAATTAGGAGATGTTTGCCGAAATACTGATATCAAAATTTGAATGGCTTCTTAAATTTTGGTGAACAATTTCATGGAATAACTTTCTACATTTAGATGAATATTTTACTTAATGGAAATTATAATACTTACTTCTCCTGTGTCTACCCTAGTAGATTATTTTACTCTTCCTCTATTTCAGACACTTGCGAAATTTCTGCTACATCATGTAAAATGGCCATTTACTAAGACAACGACCAACAGTCAGCTTCGTTCTGCGGTCACAAAGGTTTGGAAATGGAGATTAGCAAGAGGTTTGAGAACTCACAGTGGACAGATCCTCCATTTGAACATAGTAAAGAGAAATGTAACAAATGCAAAACTTGACTCAAAAATTCCAATGAATTAATAATTATTACTTTCCATATTTTATTCTTTGTTTCACTCTATCCCCATACAAATGCATTGCTATCAAACACCAGTCGAACGCAAATCAATCAATTTTGCATGAATTGAAATATTTCAATTTTACTACTGATAAATTTACTAAAATTATCAATGTGATCCAACTTAATTATAAAATAACATGTTTCAATTTGTCAAATTTAGTAATACCCTCACGTTCTGTTTACTATTTATTTCCTTTATTTGAAAAACAAATATCATCATTGATTTCATTTAGAAATAAGAGTCAAAAATCGATATTTTGAGTGTAAAAAATTGACCGAGCCAAACACTTGCCTTCAGGAGAATTCTCCAAGCCAACTTCCATTTTCAAGCCCTTCTCTGGTACATCAATTTTGTAGACTCGGGGATATATAGTATCCAACCAAGCACAAGGTACAGACATGTTTTTACAGTACCGGGTAATTTAGTATGTTCAGCCTTCCAATAGTAATCAGTTTTAGCCACACAAAGTTCAATATTTGAACTATAATAATTTTCAAGAAACGGCAGATAATTGGTCACAGCTTGCATGAGGGTTCCTTCAATTGGACGGTATAATACCGTTCCATCAGGATATGTCTCGAATTGTTCACTATCCGATGCACGAAAGTAGAAGTCAATATAGACTCCACAATCACTCATGAAAGCTTTGTACGGTTCCCAACTATGCGCAACTGGATATCCTTTGCTAAACGTTAATTTATCACCAAATGAAGTCCATAGAGTGGGATCACGCCAACTGTCATTTTTCGCACATGCCAATCCTAGTTGCAGGCAACCCGTGACAGGCCTTAAATCTAATATCCGCATTCGATTACTGGAATTGAAGGCATGTTTAGTCAGAATTTTTTCGATTCGTGGCCAGTCATCGTGCCTCACAGACATGTCATAGTCAGAATCGAATGAAGTTCTGTGATGATATCGTAGTGATCCTAGTAAGGAGCCATATGTCATCACGAGTGGAATATTCTCTCTTCGAAATGAGTCACGAAGTAGTCTCAATGACTTTGTAATGGATTTCGCTTCGTTTTCAAGGTTTATGTTCGGTTTGTAACATTCCATTAATTTCTGTGCAACCGGAGATGAAGTGAAGACCTGCTTAGCTCCCAAATTACTACACCACTCCTTCGGTACGATAATTGCCTTCTCCTTCCTAAGAACTCGAGAAAAGTACATCACCTTAGTTCCAACAAGTATCACATCGATATCGGGATCGTTGAAAGTGCTCTCGTTCCCAAGTGCCAACTGAAGGATATTTTCTCGTGCATTGACGTTTGACACCCCAGAAAAATCAATATGAGCCTGAAGAATATTTCGGGAACAACTCAAAATGGGATGTAGCTTATCCTGAAATTGAGAGATAATGAACATTGTTAGTAGAACAATAATTGCAATCATTAACAATTTCGGATTAATATTTTTGAGTCCCATTTGTGAAGATGCTTTCCACCTGGTTAATTAATTTTTCCAACTTGTTTATATATGAATCTGTGAGTACTAAATTAAAATCAGGAGTGGCTTTGGATTGCTAAGTGTCTTATTTTTCAAAACGACTTACGAATGGGAAATTTTTTATAAATCAAGGTATTTAAATCAGCTATGGCATTGAGATGCCACTTAAGGAAAATATTATTGTGAAAATACGATTGCGCTCATATTAAATGCTTCTTACAAATAAAACGTATCTTTAAAAAGGACTTTATTGTTTGAACTACAAATTATAAATTCACAAACCCTAAATTATATTTTAACGACAAATCTCAGGGCAGGCACACACAATCTAAACAAATATATTTCGTGTAATACGTCTGTCTCCTCTGTGTAGTCGAGGTAGCTTAGCTAACTCTTGGTGCCATTCCAACCTTGGAGATCTTGCCTTCACTCAAAGTACCAAGTAAGAATTACTCCTCCTGATACTTGTGTAGGAAGCAATGTTGGTGTTCATTCAATCACACAGGGGTAATACAGGCAAATATTGAAATAGTCTATCACTAAGAGTATTCGGATAAGGCAACAGTGACATCGCCCTCCTCATCTACTTCCTCTAAATGTGCAAATGCAAGACCAAGGGAAACATTATCAATACTTGGAAAACCATCTGGTTTGTTAAGTCGTCCAGCAGAAATTCAGCAACCAAGGTGGTTTCGTAGTTCGTTTGCTAAAATGTCAACAATTCTTTGACTGTTTGCGCCAAATGAGAAAGTTTAAGTGAGCGTAATGCACACAAGTGAATCCTATCAATGTAAGGAAAAAAAGTAATTAAATAGAATAGGGGAATAAGGCAATCGTTGTAAATTCGATTTGTTCAAGAATGGCCACTAAATGCGTGAATGAAATAGAATTGTCATTGAAATTATGAATTACGATGGTAATATATCTGCTCCAATGCAAACTTAGATTCCAAATTGTAATCATTTCTTCATGAAATTTTCTTTATTCATCAAGTTCAAAACTTCACCAATGTTAAATCATTTCCCTATTCATTTGGGAATTTGTTTTGTCGTTCATTCATTCTGTCACGTGGAGGAGGCCTCTCCGTAAAAATCTCGAATTTACTACCCCTAATAAACCAACGCGGTTGACGTTTCAGTCATAGCGCTTTGATAGCGACGAAAGTGTTGAAACTGGATTTTCTTACCTCGAGATCAAGCACATTAATTGCTACTCCAATGTTTCCATTCGAAAAGTTCCCAGAGGGAGAAGGTTTGCCTCGATCTGTTTTTAATTTCAAAGTATTCACTTTTGATTGCAAATATTTTATTGTATTTTATTACTACAATTGTGAATAACACGTGTTATTCAACTCATCGTAGCGCCATATTTCCGGCAATTTTGGGTTTACCATTTTTGCCTTATCAGTCTTGGTGCATCCGAGTGCTCGATTTGAACACGGATATGTAATTATTTTGACCTAATTTCTTGATTTAAATTTTTCCTTTAAAGCGACATCTTTGTATCCACACTGGCCTTATTGTTGCACCATTTGAAGTTAAGTGCTCACTAAAAAGTTTTATAACTTTTTTATTGTCTGCACACATTTATTTACTTTCCTTAAATTCACACTTCATATTGATGCATCATGAACCCTTAATTGGTACAATTTTGTTCAATAAAAGCATTTCGCTTTTCATCTAGCTTCCACAATTGCATAATCTCATGCAAAAGACGAAATTGATTGGTGGAATATTTCCTCACCTTCAGGGGTTTCTCATTAATTGTCTAAATAGTTAATTTTAAATATTCATTTTCACCACATGATTGGTAGCATAACTATTAGGTTGGCAAGTAAGTCATTGCCGATTTCAAATAAGAAGGCAAATTCGGAATTTTTGTTTAAAAATATAACATTATTCAATTAGATATTGGACGTTCTTCTCGATGACCTTTTTCCATCGTTCTGACAGAGTAAAAATTCCCCGTTCGTAAAATGTCTGGTCTTTGCTATTAAAAAACTGAATTAGGTGCGATCCGACATCATCCGCGTTGTTAAAAATTTTACCATTTAAAGAGTTTTGCATGGAACGAAACAAATGGTAATCCGAAGGCGCAAGGTCAGGGCTATATGGTGGGTGTGACAAAACAGAACAAAACATCCCAACCCAGTTCCAATAATTTTTGCCGAGTAACCAAAGATGTGTGCGGGGGCCTTGCGTTATCAAAGATGTGTGGAAAACAACACCCTTCCGATTTGATAATGCCGGCCGCTTATCTTCAATTGCATCCTTCAGTTTTTCCAGTTGTTCAACATACACATTTGAATTTATCGTTTGGTTCTGCGGCATGAGTTCAAAATACAAAATTCCTTTGTGATCCCACCACACTGACAGCATAATCTTTTTTTGTGAATCTCTGCTTTTGATACTGTTTGGGCTGGTTGATCTTGCTTCACCCATGATCTCTTGCGAGTAACACTGTTATAAACTATCCACTTTTCGTCGCCAGTAACTAGGTTCTTCACAAATGGATCATTCTCATTGCGTTTCAGTAGCGGCGAATCACAGATGCTAATCCGTTGCGTCAAATGAATTTCCTTTAACTGGTGAGGGATCCATAAATCAAGTTTCTTGACATAACCAAGGGTTTTTAATTTTTTTTTTCAATGCATGTATGCGACACATTGAGCTTCTCTGCAATATCTCGTGTTGTGCTGTGACGATTTGAATCGATAATGGCCTTGATATGGGTTTCATCCACTTCGACTGGGCGGCCAGATCGTTGTGAATTTTCAGTGAAAAATCACCGGAACGAAATTTTTCAAACCAATTTCGACACTGCCTTTCTTTTAAGGCTTCATCTCCATATACGGCACATAACTTCTTTTGTGCTTGCGATGCGTTCTTGCCTTTTCGGAAGTAATACAATAAAATGTGTCGGAAGTGCACGTCCTGTTCTTTCATTTTTCAATTGGGANATCATTCTCATTGCGTTTCAGTAGCGGCGAATCACAGATGCTAATCCGTTGCGTCAAATGAATTTCCTTTAACTGGTGAGGGATCCATAAATCAAGTTTCTTGACATAACCAAGGGTTTTTAATTTTTTTTTTCAATGCATGTATGCGACACATTGAGCTTCTCTGCAATATCTCGTGTTGTGCTGTGACGATTTGAATCGATAATGGCCTTGATATGGGTTTCATCCACTTCGACTGGGCGGCCAGGTCGTTGTGAATTTTTCAGTGAAAAATCACCGGAACGAAATCTTTCAAACCAATTTCGACACTGCCTTTCTTTTAAGGCTTCATCTCCATATACGGCACATAACTTCTTTTGTGCTTGCGATGCGTTCTTGCCTTTTCGGAAGTAATACAATAAAATGTGTCGGAAGTGCACGTCCTGTTCTTTCATTTTTCAATTGGGATAAAAACAAAACTAAAGAACTAAACAAAAAAATTTTACTAATTAACCTAGAAGCCCATACGGTAAGAAAAAAATATAGGTTAGATGCTCTGGCCACGTTAACAAAACAAAAGTAAGTATAGAGTGAATCCGACAACAAAAACGGCAATGACTTAGTTGCCAACCCAATAGTTCTTTACCGACCCACCTCACCTTTTTTCTACTTTTGTGCTTGTCTCTTACATCTCTGAAACACTCTTCTGTCCTCCCTTTCTTATCTTTTTTTTCAAGTTGATGTTCCTTCCCTTCTGTGATTTCTGAGGTCAACTAAAGTGCTAATAATAACTATCAAGACGCCTGCCATTTGATATAAATAAAAAATTTTTAAATTAGTAGTTACTTACTGCCATATTAGGAAACAAATTTAAATGGAAAGGAGCTTGAAAGTAAACCGCCCATTGGAACTGTGTATTTTCTGTCTAATTTTTCTTATCTCGGTGTTTTAATACAATTCTCAAACGAGCGAATTCAGCTTGGATGGAGGGCATTTCTGCGACAAATTCGCATTCCATCATACCACTTCCTGACCCGAAATAATCAGCGCGGTTGCTCATTCATATCACTGGTTGGGCAAAGATTTCTGCCAAACATTTTTCGACCATTGCATAGTTAACCAGTACTTTTCTTAAATCCTCCATGTTTGTTCATTTCGCGTCCTTTTAAATGTTCTCTTTTACCCTTTTCTCATAATTAAAGCGTACATCAATGTCCCCAAAATCTACTTAATCCCATCATTAAAGTTGACTTAGGTCTTGTAATATTTATTTATTTATATCAAATGGTAGGCTTTATGATAGTTATCATTAGTCCTTTAGTTGACTTCAAGCTTGACAGAGGAGGAGGATCATCAAAGCGAAAAAGTCGAGTATTTTAAAGGTGTAAAAGAGACAGACACAAAGGTAGATGAAAGGTGAGGTGAGTACTGTGGAAGTGATCGAATATGACATACAGTGGGGTCATGATAGTTTGAACTCAGAAGTCAACTGCCGGTTTATAGACTTTTTTGCCGTATGAGTATACGTTGCCCAGATGCACCACGTGGAGGTAAGTCTATCGCACACCCCAGGTCTCGTAATATAAAAAAAGTAGAACAAAGGATCGTATCGTAAT